GAGGAAGCGAGTGAAAGAAGAAACAAGACGCGAATCTCGTTGTGAAAAACGTGTTGGCTCCCGGCAGTGTCTCTCGAGTACGCATAGAGCAGCCGTGGTTTGGTGTTTACTAAATGAGCCAACGCACATCCCAAAGAAGGGTGTAACCAACAGTGGCCAGCGGCAAAACAAATGACTTAATTGGCATCGGTGGCGCTCTTACTTACAGCTTGCCAAGAGGGGCAACTTGATCACCCACGACGCAGGGAATAGCATCCCCAGGCTACGGAAGGCGGGGCAATCGTTTTGATATCACATATAGTGAATGAGTAAGAAAAAAAAATCATCTTGTGGTGTCTTTTCTAAGTCCTTAAAGGCGCTTCATTATAGTAACGTGATCGACTTTGTCTGAAAGCAAGCAAACAGTAAACATATTCTAATTGTTTTCATTTAGCCAGCTTAAAATCAACATTCATCGATGATTATAGCATCCACATGCATCATTGTGTGAATGTTAGGGTTAATAAGTACCATAAGTCGTTTTTTTTTTCTTAAAGTCTTCCACAATTCAAGATCCAAGAATTTGGTTAACAATATTGAGAAATGTATTTTCCCATGTCACTACTCAACGCCTAGCCTCTTGGCGCAGATGGATTTAATTTAAATGGAGCTACGCCATGTACCATTTGATATCATGTTTGAGCCTCATTTACCAGCCCAGGCGTTTGTCTTGCCGCCATTATGCGTCACAAAAAAATAAATAATTCCGAGAGAAGATCGAGAGTTTTTAATCCTTGAATGACGAAAAAGGACATAGGAAGCATCCCTGCTGTTGGGGGCAAGAGGTTCTGGTGGGATATTTCGCTGGGCCAGGCAAAGCGTGTTCCTTGTGACAGAATGTACTGCCGGTGACCGTTGAGACGGGGGGTGCTAAGTGGAGGGCACGCGCTTCGAATTGCGAGGTGCGGCTCGGAGCCTCGCAGGGCGGGCGAAATGAGGCTCTGGTGGATAAACTCGTAAGTAAAATTTGAGGGGCCCGAGCCTAAGAATTACCCATCCCACCCTCTAGCACTAAGATAAGTACAAGAGATTAGTATCTATAAGGGACGGCTCAATTCAAATTCAAGTCACGTGACAAGACGTGACGATCACCACGGCTGCCTCCGGGGTGGACGCCCGCACTCAGGCCCTGTCTGGCCGGAAACACTGATCGCAGTAACAGTGGATAAACTGCAACAAGCATTAAGCATGTCAGGCAGCACTTGTCTTTAAAGACACATTAAAGCCTCCACACCGGCAGAACTGCCTGAATTAATTGTTCTAAATACTACCTTGACCCTCAACATCTAAAATATATAAGAGGCAGCCCCCTTGGTGACACGCAGTGAGATGTCCTCGTTTCGAAGGACATCATCCTGCTTTCCCAATGCGTGAGGAGTAGGAGCTGCCTAAAAGTTCGCAGAACGCACACTCACCCACGTCACCTAAGGTGAAATATGTTTGGCAAGCTGGCTCGTTCCCATTACGGTCAAACAGGACCAGACAGATTAATTTAAACCCCGCAGTATTCTAGCTAAACACAGACCGGCCAACCTCTGACCTCGCAAACCGAGGAAACAGGAAGTGGCGGCAAAGGGGGCACTTCAAACCCGTTCTGCCCTGTTCACTCGGTTAATCCTTCTCCTCTAAGTAACCTCCAGTCCATTTTAGGCCGCTGTACATACCACTCTAGGTATCTGTGTGTTTACACAAAGAACGGCGGGCAACAATAAAGACACGGAAGTGACAGAAGTGGAAAACATCACGTAAAGTCCATGTTTATTAATCAATCTGAACAAGTAAATTCAGCATATGTCCCCACCCCCTCTCCTGATGTATTGCCAACCTGGGGAACTTGATAGTTATTCTCAGTTTCAAGCTGTGGAAACACCGTCTCAATTCACCCTCCATAATCTGCCAGGCCCCCCCTCAACATACAAACACAAAGTTCCAGGGATCCTTTACCATTTCCAAGATAGTTTTCCAAACGTCTGAGTCTCTCTAAACAGGCTTACTAATGAGGAAGAAGTACGCTTGCTCTGCACTCCCCCTCAGCCCTCCGTAATCCCCAGAGCAGCTCCTCTCCCTCTCCACTTCGGCGTTTCTCCCTCATCCTCTCCCCCTTTTGCCTGGGTATCCCCTTCTCGCTCGCTGTGCTCCCCAATTCCTCCCTCTAAGCCTTCCCCTGTTATTGTGACACTCCAATGAATGGTTGACACATAATGAATACGGTAACTTAATGGTTCAAATTAATGAAACGCTAAATTAATGAATCCATCACAGTGACTTTATAATGGAGAATTTTCCCCATGTTCTATCATTCATCTAGACCAGGGGTGTCAAACTCAATTTCATCCCGGGCCACATCAGCATTATGGTGGCACTCAAAGGGCCGGTTGTAATTTTAATTATATATAAAATATACATATGTAAATATATAATATATATTAAATAATGTATTATATTACATTGTTGGCCCCGCATTGGATTATTATCAGATCTGGTAATATCTTCCTAAATACCTACGTCGGAAAGCAGAAGTCTAGGGCAAATAATTGAAAATAAATATTCAACAATTACACCAATTGTATTGTACATTATATTCTTTGCAAGCTCTTGCGGGCCACATAAAATTAGGTCGCGGGCCGGATTTGGCCCCCGGGCCTTGAGTTTGACACCCCTGCTCTAGAGGGAACACAGAGATTTGCAGACCAAGCCCCCAAAAGCATAAAAGGGCCTCTTTAAAATTGTTGTTGTGGAAATGTGTTTTTATTTTCCTCAATGTATCTGATCCCCGGTTTTTGAATTTCAAAAAAGGAATTGTTTTCAGGCACTCAATAAACGGTTGGTAATTACAAGTGAGGTTTTAAAAAGTAGGACTGTTGTCATGCAATAATTATGCGCCCACACCCATTTACACATAAACATGTTTCATTGTTGCACACACCCGCATACTCCTGCTCACGCCTACATCAGCGCTTACAGTAAATACTATGTAGACGCTACATTGTGGATGGAATATACAAGCAAAGGACTATAAATACCAAGCAGGTGGGAGGTCGCCTGGAGGGTAGGGAAGCAGCAGTTTATTGGTTTCAAACTTCATTTTCTCCTCCTTTGTATGAGATTAAATAAAAGTAAAAAATCGAATTAGCATTTTAGCAGACTCGAGGAAATGTGTGTGTTCTTTTATTCAAATGGAGAAATTGAAGGGGGGGCTGGTAGGTGCATGGTGAAGAAATGCAGTATCGGATGGCATTAATCTTTTATGTGTGAAAGAGAGCTGCCTGAGACTCTCTCTCTCTCTGTGTGTGTGTGTGTGTGTGTGTGTGTGTGTGTGTGTGTGTGTGTGTGTGTGTGTGTGTGTGTGTGATGCCTTTCATCCTCAAGCTTATTCCTACGCTTTTGAGGTTTTGTTGAATTGCTGTCAGCAGGAAATAAGATGATTATGATGACAGCTCTGCCTCTATTTAAATTGTCCTCAGGCTTATGGACTGTTTTTGTGTCCAAATATTTACATTTCAGTCATTTAGCTTACTATGTCATAAATAGTTAATTACTCAATGAGCTTGTGGAGATTTGGTGTCTTGCTCCCATACAGTAGCAGCATTTGTTAAAGGGGCGATCCAAGGATTGAGCGTTGCACCTCCATCAAAATGTTTAAAAGAATTGTAGAAAGCAGAGCATGAGATCCAGCTTCTTAATTGAGATGATTTTGCTTTCTAACTTCTTAGCTTAACGACTTTCGCATTTAAAAAAAAAACAAAAAACAATTTCACTAACCCCAGAATTGGAATCAGAATCAGGTTCATTACCAAGTACGTTTTCACATACACTACAATGAATTAGCCTGTGCATTTTGGTGCATAAAAATAACCACCGTAAAAGAAAACGCATCAAAGGTCAAGAACACAAATATAAAACAATATATATAAACATATTTTTACTATAAAAATATGCAATACTTTATGTCTCAAACATTTAAAACTGTATAATTCAAATTTCTTAGAAAAATAATTGGCAAATGAATCAATGCAAAGTGATTATCTGCACTCCACACCCTTTGTATCACATGATGTTGATTGTTGTTATTTCTGCCGTTGGCGTTCCCACTCCAATCGCCTGCAGCTCTCCTTGAGAGTACATTTAGCGCTGCCTGCTATTTTTTCATAAGAAACCCAATGAGGGGTTTCCTGACCTCTTGCACACACACACACACACACACACACACACACACACACACACACACACACACACACACACACACACACAC